ATATATATTTTTGTCTATTTAAAGGCCATGCTCTGGTAGGATATGGTCACGTTACACAAAGGTCCTCTTGCTTTGAATTCATTTACTGTCTCCCATTCAGCACCTCTCAGCTCAGATATTCTAACAGGATGCTCTCCTTGAGATTCCAAGGCTGGGTTCATTATTCCTTCTATGAGGACCTTGTAACCCCAAATATATCTACATATTTAGCACATGTTACTTGACTATTTATCCAATGAATTTCTTATTCTATCCTAAAAAGTCTTTCCAGGTACAGGCACAGTTTTGTCCACTGTCGTGTCCTCAGGGCCTCTCACAGTGCCTGGCACATGGTGGTCATTAATATTTGTTGACCAAAGATGCAGTGATGACGTCCACCTGTTGGGCTTTGCAGTGTGCACTTTGTATACTGGTGATAATCGTCATTCCATCTTGATTCCAATTTCTTTAGTGAATAAGACAAGACACAAGAAAAGTCCTATGTCCAAATCCACATCGATGTTGGGGGACAACCTCAAAGATAAACTTTCCTTATTTGGGCCACATAGTATTCAGAATGATTCAACAGATACTGAATTGAACCTCAATGCTGGATGAAATAGTTACCGACTGTTCACATGACTCATGACTTATAATGTATTAAATATTACAGGTATTTTAACAAAAGATATATGTATTATATTTATGGAGTCTAGGTGTAAAAGGTCTTGAGCTCACTTTGTAGGCTGGTCTCGAAAGTGCAACGATCCTCCTGCTGCAGCCTCCTGTGTGCTGAGATTATAGGCGTGTGCCACCATGCCAGGCCACTTTTGTAATCATGCCTTAATTCTGCACTCACATACCCACACACACACACACACACACACACACACACGTTCTTTCTTTCACTTATATCACCAGCATCTTCATGATCACCCTCATGCTTGTCTCCAATCCATACTGAAGTTATTGCCATTAACAAGGGAGATGTGTGAGGGTAGCTTGTAGTTTGTGTATACAGGTCCTCCAATCTAGTTTCCTTAACTTCTCTGTGGAGGATCTTGAAATGTTTTATAGAAATTTTGTTTCGTGAAATTTTGTGCTTATCTAGTAGGAAAAAAGTCATAAGTATGTGTTTAAAATAATCATTTTGCAGTGCCTATTAAAATAATAGATCAAGACAACTAATAGAAAATAAAAGCCACTGGATGAAAATGATTGGAGATCTTCATAATAAAACAAAACGAACTGCTAATTGGCAGTACATGAGCCCTCTGATAAGCTATAATGTCCCTAAAAATGGTCCAGTCATATGTAAGGGAGTTCTCAAATGACACAGCAGGAAGGAAAGAGGGACACTGAGGAGGTGATCTTCCCAGACTGGCTAAGCCTGAATCCAGCCACAACTATAAGCAGTAGATGGCTGAGTCGAAGGTCACACATGGAGGCAATGAACTAAACAGAGAGAAGAGGAGGGACTCCAGAACGAATTCTGTGGACTCTTCCATTGACAAGTGACAATTGTGTGCAACATAAGAAAAATCACTTAACTTAGAAACTGCCATATTAGTTAGTGATCCTGTTGCTGGGACTCAACACTCTGCAACTATAACCTGAAGAAGGAGGAGCTTCACTTGCTCATGCTTACAGGGTATGTAGTCTGTGGTCAGCCACTCCAGGACAGGAGTATCACATCAGAAGGACATGGTGGAGTGAAGCTGCTCAGTGGCAGGCAGCCAGGAAGCCTGCTGGGCACCAGTGCCAGAGAGGGAAGGGGGAAAACCAGACACAGACCCCAACTGAAGCCTCCTTGATTTACCCAGACTCATCCAGAAGTGTGCTAATCTCCTTCCTGGGCCCCAAGCCCAGCAAGGCGACACTAGCCTCTAACAACCACCAGTACCAAAGGGGCGCTGGGTAATAGTCTTTACTTAAAACTCATAGCAATTTTGGAATGTCCTTAGCATGATAAAACTGATCAAAACTACGAGCAAATTAGGTGACACTAGAAAAATTTGATGGAATTCCTAGAAAAGAAAAGACTGACCGTGATTGCTAACAATATTTAACTTATTCTAGAAGTTTTAACCAAGTGTAAGAGGTAAAATTTTTAAGAATGAAGGTTGGAAATATAGCTCAGTGTAGAGCTCATGCCTCGCATGGGCAGAGCTCTGAGTCTCTCTCATGCCAGTACCACATACACACAAACAGAAAGGAAAAGGAATTGTAAACCTTGAAGATTATCTAATTATCAACTTATAAGGTGAATAGATTTAAATGGAAAATGAGATTAATTAGATGGCCCACAACAATAATTTTATGACTCAAAATAGTTTTTCAAGTCATATGCAGAAAAGCAGCAAAAAATACACGTATGTGTGTATACAAAAGGCATAAATATGCATGTGTGTACACAAAAATGAACCTCACACATGTGTAGCAATCAGCAGAAGACTGTTAATTCTGTCAAAATTAATAAAAGAAGTCTTGAATAAGCAGGTGACCCTTGCTAAGAGGAGCCTACCTTACATACTAAATTTTTCTATAGCAAAACCCACTTAGGGAGCACAACAAAATATTTTTAAAATCTTGTACTCTTTACAAGCACATCACTTGCTAGCTACATTTTCCAAAGAACAGGCAAGGCCCAGGAGCAGGGGTGGGGGGCTCATTCTCAGGGCCCAATACTTCCATCTGTGACCCTTCACGTAAGGAAAGTGCTCTAATTAGCAAAGGGCTGTTTAAATTCATAAGAACAGCAAAGCACATTTTTTACAAACAAACAAAGAGAAGTGGAATATCTGGAGGTGTGTGTGTGTGTGTGTGTGTGTGTGTGTGTGTTCACCCAAAGGTAGGGAAAGAGTGATGGCTTTCCTTACATAAAAGCTGAAAATTCTAGCATGGCAAACACACTAACAAAGGAAAAATGCAGGACTATGGATGGGAACACACAAAAGCTGTGAACTAGCATATTATAGTTTCTAAATATAAAGTGCTTAAATGTTAAGAAAAACCTACAAATACCCCATAAAAAGCTAAAAAATGAGTATTAACCATCCACTCAGAAATGAAAGATTATAAATAGATTAAAATAATTGCTCTGAGTAGATATAATCAACTCTTTTTAAAACTATGACAAACTAACTTTTGATAATCAAATTCATAAATATATAAACAAAAGTTACGGTAGTAACCCTTATTAAGAGGAGCCAGCGAAAACATGGATTGCAGAGAAGTACACACTGGTCTAACTTTTCTTTATATTTACAGATTTAAGCAACACACATGGAGAAATAGACTTATTATATCTTCAGACCCTGAGAAAACACAAGATATGTTTCCTTCAAAACATAAATTTAGGAAATGAAATTCAGCAAAGAAGTCTATCCAACAATCGAGATCATGCAGCATAGCTTACTTTTACTGATTAAAGTTAAAAACAACTATGTCTACCTTTCACGGACCAGCGGGAGTCAGCACAATAAATCCATGTGATGGGACACTTCGAGGTTCTGAAATAAGGATGCAGATTTATATTTACAGATGTAACACTTCTGCGGAGTGCTACTTGGAGAACCTTCTGCCGCACCCATCGTCCCTGACAGTAAGTGAACCGCTGCGAGAGGTCCTACCTGGCCAGGAATCGATGCCCTGCCCCTCTCTTGGTTTTAGCATTGCCACAGGCCCAGCACCCTTTACCACATCCTCGTGGGGCCACTGTCCTTCACTTCCTCTTCTGTTCTTAACCCATCTCTCTTAATGGCCTCAAGGTTTTAAAGAAATAAATACTTACATGTTCCATTTCGAGAACGCCAGAGTTTGAGTCTCAGGCCTGATACGTGCTAAATTCTTCTTTGGGAATATTTTTCTAAATAACATCAGGAAATAACAGACAGTACAACTAAAGTGCAGAGAAGGCCTTTCAGATAGCCACTATCTCCTTCCCCCAGCTCCAGTGTCGGCCGGACGCAGCTCGCTCCTCCTCCGTCCGCACTCTACGTGGTCGCTCTCTGGTCCCACTGTACTCCCCATTGTGGCCACTTAGTGAGAAGAGCTGTCAGGACGCACGTTCAAGCCAGGGTCTGTGTCCACCAGCTGTTGGATCTCTAGTGCTCTAGTCCTCATCCTACAAGAGAAGCCGAAATCCCTGCATCCCCACAGACGGGCTCCCAGGAAGGCCCATCCTCTCATGCTGCTTCAGCCAAGGGTACCCCACCCTTGGCAGGACCAGTGAAGACTCTTTTGTTGTTGTTTTTGCACATCTGAGGATCATCCCATGTCTCCCATATATGCATGCTAGGTAAGGAGGTAAGCACCAAATTTACCAGCTCTTTTTTGCTTTATTTGGAGATAAGGTATTGATAAATTTCCTAGACTGGCTACAGACTTGTGACCTTCCTGCCTCAGCCTCCTCAGGAGTTGCGTGGGATTCAAGGATGTACCACCACAGCTGGTCAGGGAATATTTCAGCACCCTAAATTCTGCAAAGGTAATTTTTCTTCCAGGTATTGCTACCTCAGACTATTAGAAGCTATTATTATTTTCCAAAGTGGCAGAAAGTCTGTATATGCTTAAATGAAGACATAGTGTTTCTAGTTATTTTTCCTGAGAGTTTCTGAAATTCTTTTGTTTTTTCCTAGCTCTTCTGGAGTCTCGAGCATATCTTCATCTGCCGTGGTGCAGGGTCAGCTATTGCTGAGCTGTTCAGTTAGTGGGTACACCATGGTCTTTGTCCCCATGGCCAAGCCCAGCCTAAGGGAGGGAAGCAATCCTGGCTCCAGTTTCCACCCTCGATAGGAGGGAATGTGAGACGAAGTACAGATGTTCTCTGTCTAGCTGTGGTTGTGCTCCTGTAGCTTCCCAGGATGATTCCAATCACTGGTGTATTACAAGCCTCCCATGTCGTTCTCAGATGTGTCTTGAATTGAATGTGTCACCTCAGAGCCAAGTAAAAGGCTGTGAATTCCCAGCTCTTGGTAAAGTTCTCAGTCTTGGAAAAACCAAGGTCATCCTGGCTATAGCAGTGACTAAGACCACTTGCGTGCAGCCCACCTTTCTCTTGGTCACTCACTGTGCTGTGGATCTCCCTTATGCAGCCTTAATCAAGACCACCTCGATTCAGCAGAGAGCTGCTAGTGGTGCTGACTCTGGAGGAAATGGGACCAGAACCTCTGTTCTCCTTTGCCTGGCACATGGGACTCACTGAACTGCTGCTGGCTGTCATGAGCTTTCTACCACCATTAGCAAGTACCTCAGAAAACAACAGAAAGGAGGAAAGGTTATATTAAATAGAATTTAAAAAATTCAAAACAAGATGATAGAAAAATATAACAATATTTGCTGTATTGCCTATTGTTATCTTCAAAGCAGTTGCTCAGATTGCTGCCTATAGGCTTGCAAAATTGATCAAACTATTAGGCACTAACTATTCCTTTCAATAACCCAAAAGAAATTAATAGTATAGTGGTTCTGGAAGTTCAGTCCATGATCAGCTGGCTCTATTATTTTGTGGCCTACAGGGAGGCAAGATCTTCTTGGTCAAAGGCATCATGGGGGACAGCTGGTCATGTCACAGCAGGCAGGAGGCAGAGAGAAGAAGAGAGCCAGCCAGGAAGAGGCCAGAGGAAGACACAGTGTAGGCCTCAGGAGGGGGCCTTCCTTTCAAATGGGCCCTCCTCCTGCTTCCATCACCTCCCAATAAAGCCATCAAATTAAGATTTCATTGGTGGATTAACCCATTGATGACATTAGAGCTCTTGTAATCCAATCACCAGCCCATCTCTGAATATGGTGCATAGGGGATCAAGCCTTTAAACCACAAGTCTTTGAGCAATACTTTGATCTAATCTATAGCACTTACTTGGCCTTAAAGACCACGAGACCCTGTAAAACGTTGCATTAGGCACAGCCTAACCTCCCTGCAATGAGTATACACTCATCTTTAGATGTATCCACTGGGGACATTCCACAGGTAAGCTGTTCTTATTCTGAAAAATAGGGCCATCCCTAAGAGTACTATCCAACAGACAGAGAAGGAGCCAGCTCCTTTTGAAAATAAATAGATGAACCAATATACAAGTAAAAACTTCAAATTACTTCTAATATCATGCCATGTTATGTGTAAAATTGTACCATTGATCCTACTTTTATGTCTTCTTGGCACCAAATCATGGTCCAGGACACAGAATGTTCAGCACTCACAAGAGGAAAATTTAAAAAAAAAAAACAAACCCAAGGTATTGGTCACCATAGCTGTATCATAGCGCCGGAGCAGTGCCCATGTATAGCTGGTGCTCCAAAGACTTGACACTCTTCACTTTAGCTTTGCAGATTTGTTCTTAGAATTAAAGGGAGCAGGGTGCCAAAATACACACTAGGGCTTTGACAAATACTATTGTGCACTCAGAAACAGAGTTTAAAGCCTTCTCCGGCTAGATTCTCACTTCATACTAGGAGAAAGGAAGCGATGTTGACCAGATGTGCCCCCTCGCGTCCTGGCCAAGCAGCGCCACCTCCTCCTAAGGTCTCCCTCATACTTCAGGGTGAAACTCTAGATGCTGCCTGTGCCAGAATCTCTGCCACAAGACTCCAAATTCAGTTATGTCAAGGAAAGGTGTTTGCATGAGGTCTGTAGGCCAGAAGGATCTAAGTTCTTCCAAACAGATATTTCACAATGTAAGTTCTGTAAATGGATGCTTCTCGCTAACCTTCTGCAGTGGCAGCCACATGTGATGGCTCTGCATGAAGAAAGCTTAAAGCCACCTGCCTCCAGAATCTGGAGACCGCTGGAGATGGTGTGGCTGGGCTGCTGAGTTGTTCTAACTCCTTAAAATGTCAACCTGAACTCAGGAGATTTCCGTATTGGTGAACTTTCTTGTAAGCTGAAGGAAAATACTTGATAACTGCAGTTTAAAAGAGGGGAAGCTTATTTTGGTTCATGGGTTCAGAGAGTTCAGTTCACAGTCGCTGGTCCCAAGGCAGGAACATCCTGGTGGGTAGCATGATGGAGCAAAGCTGTTCACTTCAAAGCTGCTGAGAAGCAGCACACAAAAGTCTAAGAGGGAAGAGACAAGGACTAGATAGTGTCCCTAAGATCACACTTCTGTGACTCACCAGACACACCCAGGACTGTGCTTCACTGATCTCTCAAACCAATCAAGTTGACGATAAACAGTAACAGCACTCCCTGCATTTGAAGATCTCCAAGATTCACATTTGCAACAATTCTGCCTTAAATCCTGATTGATTGATTAATTGATTGATTGATTGATTGATTGATTTCATTTGGTACAGGGTCTCACTACACAGCTGGGACTCATAGTGATCCTCCTGTTTTCAACCTCCCCAGCACTGGGATTACAGGCATGCCCCATCACATCTGAACTCAGTCACTGACTCAGTGCACCCCGAGGGCGGGGCCAGTGTGGCATGTGGGACCACGGATCAAACCCTTGGTCCCTGTGCTTGCCTTACTCTGCTGAGCTATCTCTCTGGCCCTCTTTCTGTTTAAACATCTACCTTTAGGCCCAGCCAAATAGTTTAGCAGATTAAAGTGCCTGCATGCAGGCTCAGAGAATGAGGGTTCAATCGCCAAGTGTGCTGTGCCAGTGCCTGCCCTGGGATGTGCTGAGAAGGCAATTGAGACTGGGCATCGTGGCACATGCCTGTAATCCCAGCTCTTGGGAGACTGTAAACAGGAGAATCACTAGGAGTCTGATACAGTAGTAGACTCTGAACACCCTGTAGACTTTTTCCTAAAATACAGAAAAACTAAATAAATAAACAAACATCTACATTTATTTCCATTTTTTATGATTGATTCCTAACTGATACCCCAGAGCTAATAACTTTTGTTCACTACTGTTAGTGAAAGCCCTAGCTGGTGAAAGGGAGCCCTGAGTTAATGTAGACAAGCAAGGGCTCCAGAGTGCAGCTTCTCTCTCCACCCCCTCAAGGCTGAAGACAGAGGGCATCCTTGGGTCTACCTGCGTTTTCCTTTTACCAGTGAGGAGAACCTGTGACAGTAGATTCCCTAACACATCACTGGCCAGGCCTGAGCTTATTTGCTTATTGATTCTATTTGCTAATTACAAGCTGTCCGTGTAGTGTAATATTTGAAATACTTGTTTATTATTTCTCACAATTCTGTGGTTTGGCTATCTGGGCTCCTCCAATCTCTTATCATTTCCTTTCTATCTCTGTCTTATCTAGTGGTTCTTCAGTTTCTCTCTCCCCT